CACGTTAAAGATCCCTTGGTGGTCTAAAATCGATAAGAGTAGGCTTCGGCCGCCACCTGGGCAAAATTCAAAATTCCCTACCAACTGAAAATATTAGGTGTGTCCCGCGCGCTCATATGACCTATGCAGTTGCGAGCGCCGTAAAACACTTTACAAAAACAAAAAAGACTTTATAGGTTTATTAGATGTTTCTTTCTTTTACTGCCTTGTCCTGGGAAGGAAACAAATTTAGTTGCTCTGCCTTTGAAATAATATCATCTTTGTTTTAAAGATAATTGTGTGAATATTGTTACTGATATTTGTCAGTTATGTTGTTTAATAATTGCTTTACAACCTAAAGACATAAAATATATGTTCTTTGCATTTTGTCTTCCTCTAAATCTCCCATTTCAAGGAAGACGTCGTCTCACTTTCAAAATACAAACAATATGTACATGTACATGACCAAAAATACCTTCTTCTTTTTCCTCGAGTGACCAATCCGAAGACATTCGGAGTAGGAGGCAGAAGCTTTCAGGTTACTTATCTTTCTAAAACACAGTTGAGCTCAAAGAACTTGAACTCTCTGGGGACACGTAATTAATTGGTCCGAATGGGAAGAAGTACATGTGATGTTAATGTCATGCTACTTGCAACCCCTTTCGTTTTAAGTCTACTATAAGACACGGAAACATGCTATGTAAATGTCTGCAGGATGAGGTTTAAAACAAAACAGAGTACTACTTACTGCATGTTCATGTATACCTATTATACGTTCCAATAGCTCTGACTCATTTGCTGCATATCCGTTTGCATAAACAAAGGCTATATGAGCAACAACAATAAGTTCTACATGTAGGCGTAATTTGACAGTTATCTAAAACCAAAAAAGTAACGTCAATTATAATAATGTAACGGAACTATCTCCTCATCTTTCTTACTTGCCAGGAGCTGGAGACGCCGGCCTTTTTTTAAAATTTACGCTGCTTTCTGTTTTCCCTATCGTTATTATTGTACATGAAGATATGTTGGACCCAGCACTTCGATGAGGGAAGAGCCCATGGGTCCTAAGTCTGGGGTCTCAAAGAAGGCAACGAGGAAAGAGCATGGAAGTGAGTCTGGGCATGGCCATTGTTCAGACAACAGATAAGTAAAGGACTGGAAAACTGTAGCTTTTTATCTGATCGTCACACAGTTGTATGCCTCATTGGTGGAGATGAGGCGCAAACACCTGCCACTTCACCGTTTGACGCCTCTCTTCCTGGTGCTCTTCCCCCGCGAAAACCATTCTGACCGGCACTGTTGTCGTCAGTAAACATACCGGTCATCTGTCCACAAGAACCTTCGAACTCCACTCGACTTATAGACCCACCGTGGCATCCGTTCTGGCAGGAAGAACTGCCGCCATCTTGTCCGATAGAAGTACTGGCGTCATGACCATCATAGCTCCACCTATCGTGTCCTTCGGCAGTATAACTCGATCTGTCTTGGCTGTGAGTGTGAGAACTACAGTAGCTGTCTTTCCCACTCCCGTCCACGACGTCTCCGCCAGCTATGTAGCTATGTTTCCCTTCCCCGGCACGCACAAACATGTCCTGGCCGTTGGCACAGACGTGTGGTCCGGGGGCTGCCGACTCGCTGCCGGGATAGTCCTGCTCCCCGGAAGTACACTGGGTACAAAGCGTGTCGGCTGCTGAGCTGGTAGAAACGCGACCGGGAGCTTGGTTGATGTATTCTGGCGGAATTAAAATGTTTCATTTGCATGATTCAATGATTTAATTGGTTTTATTTTAAAAAATATTATTTAAAGACGTAATCATCTGGCTCTTCACGCATCAAGCAAACGACGTTACTTGAGTTTTATTTCTTCTTGGGGAAGATATTTTTTGTTTACAACTGTCATTCTCTCTCCTGGAATGCATTCACCACAAAGCCCAGATTGGACCTAATACGAAAGGTCGAAACAACCCGTACAATCAATTATCTACATTGCAGGGAAAGAGAAATTGGGCAATAATCCCCAACAATTTGAAAGGCTCTTGAAAAGTTTTCTGTTATGGTATGATGTACGTCCAGATGGACGGACAGTGATGCGAGTGAGACACAGAATCGAAGGGTTGTCAGAACACGAGCCTCGGCGCAATAATGTCAGCAAAAAGGGCGCGTTGCTTAAGCACCAGCACTGTTTCCAACATTCGCGATTAATGGAGACGTCACGGGGTATACTTACGTACTTACTTTGCTACCTTAGAGCTAAAAAGTTCTCTCCCCTCAGTACAGAGTTTTGATAAATTTGAAGTTAATTTTTTTTCTCAACATGGTCAAACCTTTTCGAATGCAGTTTTATAAATATCTTGACAATGACTCCAAATAATCTTTTGATAGAACAAATAGAACACTTGGTTTCTGACCCTGTGGTCTAAGTTACTCAAAACGGCCAAAAAATGCCAGGTAGAATTTTATCATCCTAAGGTATCGAGTCTGTATCTGCTACACTTTTACCGTGAGGTGTGGTAAGGAGCTAAAGACGTTGGATTTCGGCAAAGTGGAATATCTCACGGAGTCGAAAATTGCAAGCTTTTCATGTTTTTTACCCCCTCAATCCACATTTGCATGCCCCCCCCCCCCCCCAAATCACTCAGTAGGTGTTCATATTTTCGTAAAAATAAATGTCTACCTCTATTTTGAAAGTAATTTAAAAGCGTCTTTAACGCATGGCGTCAAGGTTATCTAGATGTGGCCTCACTGAGAATGGAGACCCCGGATGTGCGTGGTAGTTCAAGTAAGTTTCGAATAGAAGGTACAAGTTTACTTTTGTCCGTACTTTATGTTACGAGCAGGGCGTCGGGCCTCAGACTGAGAAGTTACTTGAGCCAAACACTGAAGCGATCGTGACCGGCAGCCCAACAAGACATAACGTGACTTCCTTTCCTCCTTGACAAAATGAACTGCTGAGGAAAGATAGCGGCCAAATTCGGTCAAGTTTCAGTCAAGTTAGTCACCCAGTCCTTGTCGATGCTGATGGCTCATCAGACGCCTACGATAGGCCTATCTTGATACGGCAGGCAGAGCACGTGCCCTGGATGCAACATTTAAGTGCTGGGGGTTTGGAGGGAGACAAGTGAAGCTGGTGTTCTGACTCGCCCCTTCAACAAACAAAGAGTTGCCTGTTTTGGCATTTTGGTAACTGGGTTGACGGCATGCCCGATTGCGTGTTGCATTGGGCATAAATTAATTTAAAGTGATCCCATAGGTGTGTGTGAATAGGAGAATGAATACGACCCACTTGCAAAGATTGGTGATGTTATATTATATATTATGTATGCATTATGTCCAGATGTGAACTTACTGATGCGGAAAACTACGAGCAGAATAAGCAAGGCAAGGCTGACGACTCCCGCCACCACACCGATGGTCACAGGGTCCGCATGCAGGCGACTTGTCCTCCTACCTGATTGGGGGGGGGGGAGAGAAAAAAATATGCGTGTATGATAGTGTTCGCTTGTTCTTTTTCGCTTGTGAAAGAGACGGAGGAAGGAGGGAGGGGGGGGGATAAAAAACATATTGTATATTTCCACAGGGTATATTGTAACACAGTACATTTCTCGCTAGACTGACATTTTAATTAATTAGTACAAACTGGTCATCATGGCAAGCAGAAACGTTGAGTGGAAAGAAATGGTTACCGTACACATAAGCTACATGTAGTTGGTGAATTCTCAAAGTAACAGTGGCAGCGTAAACAGGAATATTCGGGAAAACGTTTGAATTTTACTTGGACTAGCCTCACTCCTAATGTTGTTCAAGTTACAGAGATTTGAGAGGTTTATCTGGGGTTTTATTTTGGTTGTCACGAGGAGGGGGGGGGTGAATGAATGCCTTCTTGCTAGAATCCTAACCTGGAACGGTAAAAGGCTACAATTGGACAGTAGGTATGGCTGTATCTAAAGTCGACATAGTTTTGTTGCTGGTTGCCAAGCTAATTCAAAACAAATTGGCTATCTGATACTGATATCTTTTCGGATCCTTTTTGTATTTTATTCATTTTATGCTCGCAGCTAAAGGGGTTTGAAAACAACAAACAACAACAACATGCCCCAAAAAAGGCGACGTCAAAGTAGATGTGCAATAGTAGCGGGCGTTACTGAACTTGGTTAAAGATGGACTCACCCTCGCCGTAGCAGCCCATCTCATCCTCCCCGTGGTAACAATCAGGGCTGTCGTCACACCTAATCTCATTCCACATGACCACGGAGCCATTGTGGCCGAACTGAAGGTCAAAGGGCACACACTCGGTGACAGAACCAACGCGACCCGACTTACCCACTTTGAGCTGTAGGCAAATATCTGGTGAAAAGAAAATGAGGGTAAAAAAATGTATCCATTCAGAGGCATTGCATCTTTTCTTTTACGTTAGGTGTTCGGTTTAATCAATGTTTTATGCTTTCATCTTGTGTTATAGTTAAATGATGCTCGTTGTTTTAACTCCCTACCACTACTACACCCCCCACTTATGACGCCAATATGCGCTCGTCCTGCCATTACTCGGCATACCCTCAAAATGTACAAAACAGGCAGTGTGCACTAGGTGTTGCCTAAATAACATTGATGCCAATACGGGTTCGCTATTTCTATCTAATCCTTGTGGTGCAATTACCAGCAACAAAAATTTTTCTCACACCGGCTTGGGAACTAGTCGAACATTCCGAGTTTCAAACTGAGGACTCGTAGTGGTAATTTTTTTAAAGTAATGGTTTGGGAGCAAAATGATAGGTAACAAAGTAGGGTTTACACTTTAGTGTAGCCGTGATATCAACAAAACGAATGCCCTGGTCGACTTATTAATTCCAAAGACAATAAATCAGGAAGGGGTGGGGGCGGTGGGGCTTCAATCGAGAAGAACCGTTTTGTGAATTGTGCTGCTATTCGAAAGTGGTGATTGGTTGTTTTGATAAACGTAGGAATAAGTGAAGGAATTAAAAGTGAGTGCTATTGAAAGGGTTGTTGCGCTCTTTTTTGATTGACCTGTTTTATTTTCAAATTCAAAAGTTTAAGAAAACATTCCATGGTCAATCAAACAAGCATGGGGGTCCGAGTCTGAAGTTGAAAATTTGTTGAGAGGGGATTAGAATTTTCGTGGGCTTCCACCTCGTCCTAGCATCGTATGTGCCCAAATAGAAGAGGATGTTCTTGGGACTGAAAAATGACTTTTACCAATCAAACTGAACGTTCAACTCACAGTTCTCACAGCCCAACCCGTTGATGGTTGGTGGGTGCTTAGGAGTAGTCTGCTAATTTTACTCCATTTGACGGAGTGAGGTGTACTTTTTGTCGATATTGTCCTTATATATTCCTAGTAAAATGTGGCTGTAACCATACCAACTTATAAACAACAACAACAACAATTACGACGATAACAACAATGCGGCAACAGCAACAACAACACCAACAACAACAGCAACAACAACAGCAACAACAAGAACAACAGCAGCAACAACAACAACAGGAACAACAATAACAACGACAACAACAATAAATACAACAACAACGGCAACAATAACAATTTTAACAAACAGCAGCAACAACAACAACAACAACAACAACCCAATCAACCTTTTCTTTCATCCCATGCGTCTGGGCAATGGGAAAATCCATCGCAGAGGTACCAAAGGACCCGCCCATAGTTGCTGATGTCATAGAGAGAGAGGCGGGGCTGTATACAAGTGCCGTCTCCGCAACGGAAGCAAGGCCCGCTGGAGAGCCTGGGGGAACTCAAGAGGTCTTGAGTTGTGGAGAAGAAGGCGGAAACAGATGATCCCATATCTGTTGTGATTAATTATGAATTGTAATGTTTGCCGGGAGTGTGTGTGTGTGTGTGTGTGTGTGTGTGTGTGTGTGTGTGTGTGTGTGTGTGTGTATGAGTGTGTGTGTGTGAGTTCGTATGTGTGTGTGTGTTTGTGTGTTCTGTGTGTGTTTGTGTGTGTGTTTGTTTGTGTGTGTGCATGCGTGTGTGTGAGTGGAAAAAAGGTGGGTGGGGGGGGGGGGGGGTACAAATGTTTTGAATGAACTGAATGAACTGAAAGCCAAAAAAGTCTATCGACATGCACAACTACAAGCCTGCTCTACAACAACTCGGAAGGTTAGGATGCGTTGAAAAGACATGCTTTGTACTTTGTTTTACCTACTGCCGTTAACAAGGAACAAAGAACTAGAATAATTATTTTTCTAGCTCTACAGGTCACTGACTCGATCCAGCGTTGCAGTTGGACCCTGACAATGTCAGTAACATCATCTGCGAAATTTGTTTTTGTAATAAGGGACGGAAAAGAATATCTATCTATCTATCTATCTATCTATTTATCTATCTATCTATCTATCTATCTATCTATCTATCTATCTATCTATCTATCTATCTGTCTGTCTGTCTGTCTATCTATCTATTGATCTATCTGTTGATCTGTCTATCTATCTATTGATCTATCAATCTATCTCAGCCCCTAACTCGTGCGCGTGAACACACACACACTCAAACACACACACACACACACACACACACACACACACACGAGCGCGCGCGCGCACGCATGTATGCACACATGCACACACACAAACACACACAAACACACACAAACACATAAACACACACACACACACACACACACTCACACACACACACACACACACTCACACACACACACGTGCACACACACAAACACGCACATACACACATGCACACACACAGACGCACACACACACACACACACACACACACACGACACACACACACACACACACACACACACGTATATATATATATATATATATATATATATATATATATATATATATATATATATATATATATATATATATATATATATGAAAGTTTACTTTACCACCTTCAGGGAATTTTTTTCTAATGGCAGGGTTGAAAGGGGGTGCTTTATTTTTCTATAGCTCTTTCACACATCAGGGTTACTATGATTTACCCCCCTCCCATGGTTTTATTTCCTTCATGACAACAGTGGCGTATTGAATGTCCTGTTTGCCCCGACTGTCTCTTCAAAGCACACATAAGCTGAGAGAGATCGCATATTTAAACACGCATTTCGTATCCGTCTCCTTCGTGTGAAACGAAACTCAAGAACACCTGCGAGTATCACCCACCATGTTATCTGTCTTCGCGTGAAAGCTACGCACTATGTGTAGGCCTTGACTTATGTTGGGATATCCGGGCATAGAATTCTTTTCGAAGAAAGAAATACGCGGGGGTGGGGGAGGGGGGGGTGGGTTGTTTTGGGATTTTCCGCCCTTCTGTCTATTATCTCTCCTTACCGGGAATTGGTTGGAATAAGAATAACTTATTGTTCTTTGTTCAACCAGAGGGGACGTCAACCGAAAATACTTACGTGGTTGGAGCCTACCAGGAAATCATATATACCATAGTTACAGATAGAATGTAGTCTTGTGGAGGGGGGGGGGGAGGTTCTTCTTTTATCTTCATACACGTTCCGGTTCAGCGAGGGATGGGGGAGGGGGTGGAAGGCACCACTGATAGGTCCTACTATCGTTTCTTCCCTGTTTGTCTGTCTGTTTGTCTTATCCTTTACCTTAACAAAATGGAAGTTATTGCGTCGATGTACTTCTTTTTGCTCAAATTCAACCGGAAAAACCGAAACTTAAAACCTCTGGTTCAAAGCGTATCTTTCATATTCACTGATCAGAAATGTCTCTAAAACAGTCTAGAGTCTGGACTACACCAAACGAACAACCTGTCGACCTCATTACACAGAATCTAAGGGGCGAATTGCTCTGAATTTTTACATGCGGCTCTGAATTCCCAAAGACCTAGAAAAAATCTCGGTTTTCATGCATATGCAACAAAGATAACAAGGTGTTTTCTATATAATCATTATTATGTAATTGCAGAATGGGCGGGGCTCTTTGATTAGAACAAGAACGGTAGTTGAGTGTTAGTTGTCTTGCTTGTTTAACCTATTTTCTTCTCTTTTTTTTTAATTGACTGCGTGTGCAGCAAGACTGAGTTGTTGTGAGTCCAGCGGTTAGTGGGTGACGGTGTGTTTATTTAGATTGACAAATTGTGATATATACAACGTGTAAAATTTCTTTCATCTTATTATATTCAGTCTTTGAGATTGCACGCGTTTCAATTTGCTGTCGCTTTTTTCATTAATCACCATGAATAAATTTATTAATTTACAATAACCCCCCCCCCCCAAAAAAAAAAGGTTGCCCTAAAACTACAGAACTATTTTTCCAAAGAAGCTGATCGAGGCGGTCTCTTTCATTCTATAAAAATAAATCCCGAAAAAAGGACAGGACATGCTTTATGGCTACCCAGGGACTACGCTGCTCAGATCGATCAAAGAAGATGAAAATCCAGAGAAAAAAAATAACATATAAAGACGCAAAGTACTTCCAACAATAGTACTTTCATATTCAAGCGGCTATAAAATGTATGTGTAGAGAGGAGGGGAGGGAGGAGGGTCTGCCTATGAACCTGTACTGGGGGGGGGGGGGGGGAGGGGGGATGCCCAGTGACATACCTTTTACCGCTTCAAATTTAGCGCTCTGTTGACTCCCGGTTTGGGGTTTAATCATACTGTACCCCCCCCCACCCCCACCCTCCGCGGGAAATTTCTGGCTAAGCCCCTGCAACGACCCCTTGTATTATTGTTATGCTTTAGCATGGTATTGTACTTACTAAAAAAAGTGTGCGTGTTGAATTTAACTAGCAATTAATTACTAATGATTATATAGACAGCACCTCTTTATTTTTGTCGCATATGCACGAACATTGAGAAATTTTAGGTCTTTTAAAATGCATAGGCGCATGCAAAAAAATCAGAGCAATTCGTCACTTAGATTCGGTGTATTGAGGTCTAGAAGTTGTCCATTTGGTGTTGCCCAGACTATAGCAAAGATAGAATTTACTATAGCTTGTTCACTTTCATCTGTCGGCGTTTTAAAAACTCTAAATCATAATTTATCAATTTGCCAGTATATTTTAACTTTGGGTCAGAGTCTTGTACGCCAGCGACCAAACAAAAATATTTTTTCAAAACATTTTGATCTAACAATTTTTAAAGTTTTTCACTTGAGCCCCATATCACACACCGCCCTTTACGTGCACACAGAGGGTTACTTGACTAAATGATCTACAGTAACCTTGCCTCAAATCATTGCTTCTTTTGAGACAGCAACACCACCCCGCCCTCACATTTCAGTGTAAGCTTGTCGATTTCCTCCCAAGACCGTCGAAAACGTCTCCACTTGAGTCTCAAAAAGTACTCACCCGACTGTAGCACTGTGTCTCATAGGCGTGCATTAAAGAGTGGTGTTCATGAAAATAGACCAAATATTTTATGTTTTAGGTGTATGCTGTAAATCCCCTTCTATTTTTTGTAACTGCTTTAGAGAAATCGTGTTAAAAACCTTAGTTTGAAAAGACCTTTATTAATGGTCTTTAGATTCTGTTGGTCATCCAAAATTTAGACCGCGTGCAAAAAAAATTGACAAGATTAAACAGAGCATTTAATTTTTGTTTTTTTGCTTGTATTATCCGCGGCCAGACGGAAGTGAACAAGCTATAGATCTGGGCCAGCAACAGAATAATGTGGCTTTCTCAAACTGACGGAAAGTGACCTTTATTGTGCAGCAAATTCTTGGTCTCGGACAAAACTGCATAGACCAGCAGTTCTTTGGAGCTCAATTTTAAACACGATTTTGAACTTAGAATGTTTGTAGTAATTATTATATGCCTATGTAATCCGTGCTATGAACAAACGGGCCGTACCCGCTCTCTTCAGGGGAACTATACTAAGAAAAGAGAGCCAAATATACGTCCGCTTAGTTTCTTTTCTGAGAATCAGGAGATAACTTTCCGTAATAGAATATAATGTCCGTGTGTGTGTGTGTGTGTGTGTGTGTGTGTGTGTGTGTGTGTGTGTGTGTGTTTGTGTGTGTGAGGGCCTACCTAGTTTGTGACAGAATTCATCATGGCCATTAGTACAGTCAGATACTCCGTCACAGATTTGACTCCTGCTCACACATTGCACGGGAGAGCACTGGAACTCTTCAGCACTGCATTTCACTGCGTGTCAGAAAAAAAGAAATCGTTACTTTTTCGTATGCAAAAAAAAACATGTACTCTTGGAACTTACAAAATGGGTATGGGATGAAGAAAATGAAAGTTCCTAACGCGAACGCCAAAGATTTTCACTGAAATCTTGGCGTGATCCACGTTGACTGTTGTAGACAGTTTAGTCATTATATTTATATTACCGGTATCAATATTTTACGCTCCCATTAACACAATCTAAATCATTTAGAAGCGGGCTGTTTGGACCCTGCCTGTTAGGCCTAACCTCGGCAAGAGGATTACAACGTCTCAGCAGACAGACGGAGATATTCGATAGAAATTTAAGCAACATCCCCTCGAGGGAATGGAAATCACACGTCTTCTGCGTACGGTGGCCACGCACCTAACCTCTACACCACAGACACTGGTTGACAGTAGTTTAGTGCAAGCCCATTGACGGCGTACGTGGAACAAAGGACAAACATGCTTCTGATCATTATTGAATTCGCGAAAGTCTGTCCCCGAGATATTATGCACACACAAAATTCTGAAATTATGCAAACTGAGCCCCAAAATGTGAAAGTATGCGATTCTGTTTATTTTAATAAACAATGATACAGGAAAATAATCAGAAATTATGCAAAAAATGATCAAATTTTGCTAAATTCTGCGGAGTGCATAAAACCCCGGAGACAGGAACGTTTACGATGCTGAAAATTGAGTAGAAGGTTAATACGAATAAAAACGTTTCTATAAAGTCCCTTAAGCGTAGAGAAATGCCAAGATATAGAAATAAAGTCAATACAACTAAAAACGTTACTGAAAAATAGAATCCCTTAACGTAGCGCAATGAGAAGATATAGGCTGAAATAGAGCCACTTTTTCTGGTCAGGTTGTACAATAAATTGAAGAAAAACAACTCAAGAAGAAAAAGAACACTTGGAAAAGAAAAGGATGTTCAAGTACAAAAAGAAAACAGTACAAAAACAACGATTGTTGGAAAAAAAAGTAGACAAAGAAGAGGAACCGCGGACATGGGGGGTAGGGTATAGGTCTACTTAATATTATTATATCGGAGGTACACGCGCCGTAGTGGTTAAAATGATGATGATGATGATGATGATGATGATGATGATGATGATGATGATGATGAT